TAAGCACAGCTGTTTCCATGGTCACCTCACTTCTCTCCCCACCCAAACCTTAAAGGAAAGAACACAGTTTCTTAGGCTGCCTCAGTAGTTCTGGTCTGTGCATCCCTCTCTCAGATGTAAAATCTCATTTGCCTTCTCCATATGCCTCTCTACAAAGCCATTTGTGGTCTGTTTTAGGCAGAGTGGTGAATGTATCAAGTATGCTCAGCCTCAGGGCCCTGAAAAACTGCAGTCCGGAGCTGCAGCAGAAATTTCGAAGTGACACCATCACAGAGGAGGAGCTGGTGGGGCTCATGAACAAGTTTGTGGAAGACACAAAGAGAGGGATGCATGAGAAGGAAGGCTGGCCTAATAGTGCTTATGGGGTGACCAAGATTGGGGTGACAGTCCTGTCCAGAATCCATGCCCGGGAACTGAGCCAGCAGAGGAGAGCTGACAAGATCCTCCTCAATGCCTGTTGCCCAGGGTGGGTGAGAACAGACATGGCAGGACCAAAAGCCACCAAGAGTCCAGAAGAAGGGGCAGAGACCCCCGTGTACTTGGCCCTTTTGCCCCCAGATGCAGAGGGGCCTCATGGGCAGTTTGTTCAGGAGAAAAAAGTAGAACAATGGTGAACTCAACTCTCCCCCCTCCCCACAGCACCCTCTCTCTTTGTATCCTGTCTTGGTGAGGACTGTGGACATTTATGATCTGCTGACACAATATACTAATTTAATACTCATTAATTACTTGAGTCATTGACCCTTGTGATTCTATGAAATATTTTATGATTCTGTCTGTGTTACAGGAAAGAGAAAAAGTAAATTCTCTAAATAAATAAATAAATAACTGGTTCTTTAAGCCAAGTGTTTTTCTATAAATTTGGGGGGTTTCCTTAAGTGTTGAGTGTGTTGGCGAGGGTGATGGAAGTGTACTACATGCTTTTAGTGCTGTGAAGACCAGAAGACGGCATCTGTCCCTGAACCTGGAGTGAAGAGGCTGTGAGGTCTCCACCAGAGCAGCAAGGGCTCCTCACTGCTGACCCATCAGTCCAGTCTCATTTGCAGATTCTTATCCACGCAAAATTGGCTTCATCGCTGCAGGTTAATGAGGGCAAAAGTGGGGTGAAGGGAAAGCACAGTGTAACTCCAGTCAGCTAAGAACCAAATAGCCAGTCTGAGCAGGTGACTGCTCTGTAGCAGGTGTGTCCTTGGGTGACATACAGGACACACAGTTCTGCCATTCAACACACAGCTCTCAGGTTCTCCAAAGCAATAGAGGATCATTTGTTCTGCAACCATTGAGTGACCATGACCTGGTCACACAGACTTAGGGACCCCTAGTTCCAACAGAAAAGCAGTTTCATAAAGCTTCTATATCTTTCTCTGTTCTATGAAGTTTTACAGAACAAAGTAAGTTTTAAATCAAGACAACTTCAAAATGCATTGGTAGGAAGATCAGAGAAATGGGTACAATGAGATGGGGAGCAATGTTATAGCCCAAGATGCTGTCTGATGACATCCATAGCTCTTGGATTAGGGGAAGTTAGTGTTCTACTGAATTAAATCAATGTCTTCCTATCTCCATCATCAGCATCATGAGGTGTTTCTTCAGAGTGGGGTAAGGAATGCCCATTGCAGACCCTAAACCTAGCCCAGGATAAAGCACTCAGCCTCTGAACCTGCTCAATCCAGAGTCTCCACACTACTGAAATTCCTCTCAGTCCTCCAGTCTCTGCAAACACAGACTCCTCCCTGGAGTTCTGATCCCAGCAGGCACAGCTTCTCTCCAGGAACTTTCTTCACAGTTCCCCCATTGGCCAAGCATCACATTTTGTGCATCAGGGGCCACGTGTTGAATGTTCTGAGGTCCTGCCCTCATGCCTGTGAACCAGGATTAGCATGTGATGTATGTGAGGCTTGAGCAGTGGACAGGAGAGAGCATCTTTAGGAGACAGGAACACTGGTAAACCCAGGAAGCATCACTGGCACCATATCGAAACAACTAG